TTTTTTTTGAGGAAGTGGTTAGATATTGGAAAATAATGGTTTTAGAATTGATATATGTAACAGGATTGGGAGAGTTCAAGAGAAAACTTGATACATAATTAAAGCATTGAGGTTCAATATAGGCAGATGGATGTTTGAAGAAATTAATGGGAGAGCCACAATGAGCCCCTTGTTATCCCTCACATGTTATATTAATATCATCAGTGTAAATAAGAAAAGACAAAGGTTCAAGATTTGACCCAAGAGACACTCCACTAGTAAATTTTTGCTTTCTATCATCCTGTTACCTACAATCAAATTAATTTCCCCAACCCCTAATGATGAAATTTTCTTAGCTAATCTTCTGTGTGGTATCTGATCAAAAGTGTTTTGAAAATCTTAGTACACCAAATAACATTCTTGAAAAAAGTTAGTATAGTAGTAAGACAAGATTTTCCTTTAGTGAATGAACTTTGATTTTCTTCTATGCTTATTTTATCAGACTCCCTAGAATTTTTCCTGATACAGAGGAAAGACTAATTGGTCCTATAGTTTCCAGGGCCATTTTTATCTTCCTTTTTAGAAATAGGTGTAACATTAGCAACTTTTCTATCCTCAGCTACCTGCCCAATTCTGACCTACCAAAAATGAGAGAGAGAAAGGCTTACTTATCTGTAACTTTCTTTAAAAGTTTGGTCCTGATACATTATTTCTAATTTTTCATTCTTTTTACTTAGCATCAATGGATAAGTATCTATGCGATTCAAGTCAGTTCTCATATTTCCCATAGAATACTATTGGTCAGAAATATTGCTAGCCCTCTTCTATAAAAACATTTTGGGCCAGCTGTTTCTCATAAGCCATTTTTGATCTCCTATTTTTTTAACCAAATCCCCATCCTTCCTGTAGTTCTTTAAATCTTTCATGTTATTTAACAATTTAAGTATGTTAAACCTATGGTATTTATTCCTGATTTTATCTTTTATGTCTTTAGTAACTCAGTTAGGTTTGATTTTCCATATTAATCTTTTTCTCTTTTCAGAACATGCCTGTCTCAAATTAATAGCAATAGTAAAAATTTCTCGACTTTGACCCACATTACCTTTTAACATATTATTCCAATTCATTAACTAATCAAAAAACAAAGGCCCAAGCACTAACCCCAGAAATACTCTACTAGTAACAAGGATGTTGCTGTTAGGCCTACTTTGACATTTCATAACTTTACTTATCAGTTTATTTAATTGTTGCATTATTATAATTAATGATTCAATTTTGATAGTTGAATATCATTGTTGTTAATAAATAACTTAAAACAACAAAGTGCCCCATACGTTTTTGCTGTGTTACAACCAGGTCTATTCTTAAATTTTCTCAAACTGTTTATTCAGTTCAATAAATTATAGTTGTCAAGGGAATTTATAAATAACTGATCAAATTTAACAGTGGTCAAATAATGAGCCATCAATTGACAGTAAGTGTATGATCAGTTGTCTGGCTTATTAGTTCTAAAAAATTAACTGAACCAAGAAATGTTTGATTTTTTCACCACAGCAGAACACACTCACCCCAACATTATTGCTTCTTTTCAAATATCAACACCCAAAGTGAGTTACTTAATGCATTGCAATATTAAAACTTGGCTCATTATCTAAGCTTGTCGACTTTTGTTTTTGGTAAAATGAATCATCCTTAACAGAATCATCTCTTCAAATGGGTAAGATTAAAATTAACTTGTCAAGATTGTTTCACACAATTTTTCATCTTTAAATGAGGCATTTTCACAATACTAGTAAGCCTTTAGTTTACTAGATCCTTTATAAACATTTAATTTTCTAATAGAGAGATCACTTTGTTTTCCAATCAGGAATTTCTTTGGTGCTTTAAGGTTCTTTAAGGTTTCAGGATGGATCTTTTCATGGTCAGGAGCTTTACTGAGAAGTTTCTCAGGCTTTTCTAAAACAGCTACTTCTTCAACATAACAAAATTGAAGGAAGAACCCTCTTCTTTAAAACAATTGAACAATGATCAGCTTGGAAATCTTTTTCTTCACCAGTAAATTTTTTTCATTAATTTACCTATGTTTTTTATTTTGTAACAAGGTTCCTTTTAAAATATGTTAAAGATCATATCTTTAGAATTTATCTTCATTTTTGCAATTAACACATGCATAAAAAACCAAGTCAAGTTTAGTGTTTTGAGTTAACATACTCATAATCTCTGTTAGCTTTGCTAACCCACTTTTTAATTCATTTCCAAGGGTTCATTTAACTCAACTAGACTCGTTTTTACTATCACCCAAACTGCTTGTATAACCCTCCCCCTTTTTTGTATCCCACTCTGCTCTCTAAAAATATACAGTCTTCTCTTAGTCTCCTTGTTGCAACTTCTACCACACCTAAAAGCAAACTATTCCAAAGGCTGACTACCCTATTAGAAAAATAACACTGCCTTGACTAAAGTTACTTCACTCTACTTGAGATTTTTATATTCTTCTAACTACGCATTTTAAATTATATTTTTTTGTTCATTTAGAAAAATATTTTAAGTTATAACACTGTACTGATTGGAATAACAAAAATATCATTATAATCTCCATTAAAAATTTATCCATGCTTAATTTCTTTAATAAGGCTATTGAATTTTTGAAAAAAATGTTTTTTAAATTTCACATAGCTTCTCTAGAGATAGTTGGTGGAATTGTGGATTGAAAAATGGTATGGTAAAAAATGAAATGGGATCTTTGAACTAGATTTCTTTTTCTGATTGGGTTAATAACTTAATATGACATTTTGGGGTTCCTTGGGCATATATTTTCATTCGTGGTTTGTGCAAGTGATATTTTCCAAGATGATACCTCACCATTTCACACAGAATAGCTTAATCTTTTGTGCATCTGCATATGAGATTTGCATGCCACTAGCCTTGATACAACTCCTACCTAAAAATTACATGCTTAACATGAACTGTGCTAGTGCATGATGACATCATTATGCAACAATAACCTTCCACCAATAAGAGGGTGAACCAATCTCCTTGTACAGTGACCCCTGCCTCCTAAGAACTTGTGCTTGAAATAACTTCATTCTTTTCCTTGTCTAGAATGGATGTGTTTTTTAAATTATTAATCAATTATGTGAGATTTGCAATAGTTGACAAAACTTAAATGTCATTCAAGTTTAACTGGATTCTTTTATTACTAAAGAAAATGAAGAACTTTTTTTTCTCTCCTACTTACCCATTATGAATTCTCAAGTGACAGTAACTTCCACTTCATCCCATGATAGTGACGATGTTTCTAACATGGAACCTGTGTCTATTGTGGCTACTGGGGGCTCGTTTTCTGTGGAAGACATGACAGCCATTGTTCAAGGTGTTGTGGGTTCCTTCATGCATACTACCTCTTCCTCCTGCCCATTCAGCCAATGTTTCTTCTCCCTAGTTTAAACATGATCAGGATGATGACAGTTTTGGCTGGTTATCTTTCCAAACAGGTTTGCTCTATTGCTCTATTTGTGAAAGAAAATTCTCACCCTTTTAATCTCTTTCTTGACATGATTTTGTAGTTATGCTCCTTCCTCATTGTCATTTGATTCCTCCTTTGCTGTACTGCATGAATCCTATACTCAAGACTACTTTGTCTTCCCTCCTTCACCTGACATTTGGGTCCATATAGACTTGTTTCTTGAACACCTGTATTAACATGCCTCATTTTCCTCACCCTTGACTCTTTTGTCCTGACTTGCAGCCATTCTTCATTTCCATTTTTTGATTCCCAGTATGTTGACTCTTTTCTTGCCTAAGGACTAGCTACCTTAACTTTTATTTTCCTTTCTAGTGCCCAGTTTCATGTTTTTCTTACAACCCTCCTGCATTACTTCACATCACTCCACCTTATGTTTTAAGCACTTTGTTGTACTCAGGAGGGTTTTTTTTGAAGCAGTTCATTCTCTTCTTTTCATCATATTTGCCTGTACTTCTCCTACTCTGTCCTCTTTACTTGGTCCTCTGCTGTTGGGACAGGATGATCTCCCAGCTAACATATGCCTCCCTCCTGCTTATCTCAGTGATCTTCGAATGGCCCCATTTCTTCACCCTGAAGTTTTCAGGGGTGTTCCTGACTCACTGACAGTCTGGAATTGGTTCTCATTGTTAACTATGGTTTCTCGTCTTTCTTAGCCTTGCCAGTCTGTTCCTAGGCCTGCTGAATCCATGTCTTCTCTTCCCATTCCTTCCCGGCCTTTTACCGCCCAATGTCATGGTCATATTTTGTCTTGTTTTGGACTACCCTGTTTGGCCTGGCCCTATGGGGGCCCATCTTTTTCACTTTGCCAGTCTTTGGTTTCCATTTTCATTCAACAG